TTTTAAACCCTTCCCACACTCTTGCAATATTCTAAACAAAGTTTCTAAACTCTAAACGCTGTAAAAGAACACAGAATGTCATGATTCTCTGCCTCTGCTGCTTTCAGCCACCTGCACACTCTCGGCCACGCCCACTTCTTTGCTCTGTACAGAGATCAGCTGATCAGCTGCAGCAGGAAGCTTGTCCTGCATTGTGGGCTGCACAGAGGTGCAGCAGGTGCTAAATAATTTAAAATAATTTATTTTAAATACAAAGTCCATGTCAATCGTGCGGCTCATCCATCAATCAGCCAATCTTATTTTGAAAAACCGTGATAGAGCGAGTCTTCGAAAAACGAACTGCAAAGTAGCGAGGGACTACTGTACACTTACTTATTTTGAATCAAACCTGGGATCCCAAAGTCCCAGGTACAAAACTGAATGGAAAGTTGAGATTTATAGAAAAATAAATCCTGACTATAAATTGCTTCTTGATAGTATTGGTTGGAGTTACATTGGGGTTGCCACAGTGAGCAATTTTTCAAGAAGGATTTGACACTTGTTTTATGCCAGATGTCCTGCCTGACACAACCTTGGCTCAGACCTGCAGCCTCGGGATTACACAACCACAGCACTGACCACCAGACTACTGCAGCCTCACAGCAAATGTAGTAAAAATAAAAACAAATATACAATACATATATTCACAGCTTTTGCCATGACACTCAAAGGTGCGCTCTGGTGCATCCTGTTTCCATTGATCCCTCAGTTGTTTCTACAATTTGTCTGGAGTCTAAATGCGGTAAAGTGAATACATTGGACATGATTTAGAAAGACACTCACTTGTCTATATAAAGGTCCCATTGTTGACAATCCATGTCAGAACACAAATCAAGCAGTGAAGTCCAAATAATTGTTTTTAGACCTCCAAGAAAGGACTGTATGGAGGCACAGATCAGGGGAAGGTCCATGAAACATTACTTTTTCATTCAACCTTTATTTAGACAGGTTAATCCCATTGAGCCTCAATGACTCATTTACAAGAGAGACCTGATTTCTTAACAAAGAGTGATGATAGCAATGGATAACAATGACAACAATAGACAGTCATAAAATATGGCATACAAATTTAAGTTTCTCTTTTTTCTTTTTTTTTAACAAATCGAAACAAAATAGCATCCAACAGTGAGATCACAAGACAATGTAGAAAGCTAAAAACAGGAACATGTCTGCATTGGCTTTTGCCAGGAACTTAACAGGGTTTTAAAGTCACTTAGAGAGGTCAAGGTCGAGATCGTATTCCAGGAAACGGGGCGGAGTAGGAGAAGGTCCTTTTGCCTAGATCAGTCCTCACTGAGGGAACACTGCAGGTAATAATGTCCTGAGAGCGCACGCTGTAGCTGCACTCACGCAGGGTTATGTAAGAGGAGGTGTATGAAGGCAGCAGACGAAGAAGTGATTTAAAGATGAAAATGTACCAGTGAGAGAGTCTGCGTGAAGTTAATGATGACCAGTGAATACAGGGTGCAGTGGTGGGTACGGTAGTTACAGCTGGTTACGGTACTGCAGCATTGAAGGTCCTAATCAGTACAGTGGCCATCATCCATAAATGAAAGAAGTTTGGAATCAACAGGACTCTTCCTGGAACTTGCTGCCTGGCCAACTTTACCCAGATAGTGCCTCTGATAAAGCTCTAGTTTTGGTCTGTGGATAGAGGAGAACTTTCCAGGACAACCACTTCCACGGAACTTCAGGCCTGTGCGATAGATTATAGATGAACATCCAACGATTTGTTTTTGACAGCTTCAATAAAATCTATCAAGTGGTTCATAAGATATTTTGCTACCAGACAGAGGCGGCTCCAATATTTCATGGCAATTATTTCAAAAAGATCTTGTGCCATCAGTTGGAGCTCAGAGTATGTGTTGGGAATGACTCTCACCTCCTAACTCACCAAATTTTAGTTCAATATCTGTAAAAGTGGCCGAATTATAGTCGTTTTTAAGTTTGCCAAGGTCAATGAGCTGTAGCAGCCGTCTTAAATTGAGTTAATCAGTTGTAGACATCGTCCAGTGATTATTTTCTGGGAGTTTTATTGAAATACATCCACTGATTTATAATTCTACAATGGTTTTTATTCTGCTGAGACAGCCTAATGAAGACAGACACAAGCAAGAATAAAACCAAGAATCAACCAACAGCAAAACCAAATGAATGTAATAAAAATTATACCACCAGAAGACAATATTTGTTTTGATTCCGCACTATCTTAATTGCATGTTCATTGTGGTTTGTGCAGGATGTGAATTTAAAATGATGACGCTACATCCTTCATCACCATCATTCTCCTCCTGCAGTCAACAGAAGGTTTGGCGTCGTTTGTGCATTGATGTGAAGGATGCGCGACAATACCTTCAGGTTTGCTTTTCTTAGTACCTTTGTGCAGAAGCTGGATGTTTTTGTTCCCTGATCATGGAGTTGGTCTGTTCGGTGTGTGTTGCTCTGTCAGTAGTGTGTCAGTAGGCCACAAGTTATGAAAACTTAATTCAACTTTTTGCTGGTCCAGCTGCTATAAAACTTCAAGGGTCATTATTAATTACCCGGAGCTTGTGTGGTGTTTCTTATAGACATGTGTCATTAATTAGCCTATTAATCATTATCACTGTCATTGATTATATTTTCAAAACAAAGCTACTTGGCACGCTCTTCCACAGCCGTCTAAATTTGGCTCCTCCAAGTGCAAACATGGTTTTGAACCACACCCACGGGAGGACAGCTGGACGACGAGGTTATTACTGTTCTGTTGATTGAAGGAGGACAGCACACGCACTAAATGATCTCAAGACAGTGTGGATAATAGGAAGGACTTTGAAATGTGTGGAATGAGTGTTGGCAAAGTCACTTCACATCAAACACTTGTCACCGTTTCCCATAAAACCGCGTCCATCGAAGTTCAACAGAGCTGTTTTCTGAGACGTCAGAATAACCCAAAGACAAACCTCATCAGCTTCTGTTTATTTCACCTTACTGTGAGGAATATGAATGATCTGATATCATACAGTAATGAGGGGACCTTAAAATGAAGATTTTAAAGAGTTCATCAGCATTTTCTACACAACTGATTATCAGTTTTTGCAATGCAAAACTAATGTTTATATAACTGCAAAGAACAAATTAAAAGCATCAACAATATTGCAAACTCATGCTATATTGCCAGATATCAAGGTCAAGGTCAAGGTTCTTTATTGTCATTCACATCACATGTGGTATATGTGGAGGAATGAAACTGAGTACACAGGGTCCCAGTTACATTCGACAAAAGTATAAATTGTAAAAGAAAAACAGTAATAAGATCAAAGATATGAACAAAGAAATATGCTAAACTAACAATACACATCACATACAGAATGTGTTTTATGAATGACTATTGGCTACTACCACATTACATCTGAACTCAAAATCTGTAAAACTGACTAATTTAAAGCTATCTATGCATCCATCCATCCATTCATCCATCCATTCATCCATCCATCCATCCATTCATCCATCTATCCATCTATCCATCCAT